TCGGAGTTCGTTTCTTCTTCTATTGCGAGGACTTCTCGCTCCTCTTCTGTTTCATGGGTGTCTCTTTTTACATTGCGGCTCAGTGCATCGGCGTTCGCATTCGCTCGTCCGGCTTTATGAATGATTTCATAATCATACTCTTCGAGCTTTAATCTCCATCGGATCAATCTTGATCCGGGATCGTTTACATTAAATAACCAGATTAATGGTTTATGATCGGTTACAATTTTGAATTTCGTACCGTATACGTATGGCCTAAAATGTTTTACAGCCCATACAATTGCTAATAATTCTTTCTCTGTTGTATTATAATTCTGCTCCGCCCGCGATAAAACTCTGCTGGCGTAAGCAATTGGCCGGTCATTGCCTACCTTTCCTTGTGACAATACTGCTCCGATTGCATAGTCGGAGGCATCGGTGGTCACTATAAACTCTTGAGTAAAGTCTGGATATTTTAGCACTGGCGTCGTCATTAATTTTTCTTTTAATATTTCAAAAGCATTTTGCTGTTCCATTGTCCACTCGAATTTTTCTGTTTTCTTTGTTAATTTAGTCAGTGGCTTGGCTATCCTTGGGAAGTCTTCTATGAATTTTCTGTAATATCCGGCTAGTCCTATGAAAGATTGTATATCCTTCACTTTCTTTGGCGTCGGAAATTCTTTTATTGCTGTTAATTTTAACGGATCCGGAGATATCCCTTCTTCCGAAATAATGTGACATAGATAAATCACTTCCTTGCGTAAAAATTCGCATTTATCTGGCTGCAATTTTAAATTATTTTCTCGAAGTCTCTGTAGTACTTATTTGAGTCGTTTGTTGTGGTCTTCAGTCCCATATATCGGTGATGTTGGGCAGTGGAAATGAGTCGCCTATCGTCAGATCATTTAGCTTCCAAAAATCGACTACTATTCGGAGCTTTGGTTTTCGAGATGCATCGGCTTTTTTCGGTAGTTTAGGGGTGCATTCCATTGACTCGCGCTTGTTCGGATTATGCCGTTTTTTAACATTTCTTGCACTTGTTTATTTACTTCCGTCTTATGCCTTTCCGGAAGGCGATACGATCTCGTGTTTACCGGTGAAGTATCGACGCGCGTGTTTATCTCGTGCTCCACCGTCGCGGTGCACGTCAGTGGTTCTCCGTCCAACTGAAATGTATCGTAATATTCTTCGCATATCCGTAAGAGTGCCTGTTTTTCTTCTGAATTTAAATGCTGTGTTCGTAGTAGTTGTCAAATTTGCGAGTATCGTGAGGAAGTAGGTTTAGAATTTTTTCTCGTTTGTATAGTGTGTACTTCGGATTCTCGGTCGTATTCTACATCTTCGATAACAACATGTGGCGTTTGTATCTCGACTTCTGTATCGGTCGTATTCATTACACTAACGGGGCATGCGTGATCTTTAGGTTCTACTAGACAATTTCCGATATAGACTCCTGGGGCTGTTTCTTCTGCTCGTACTACTCCTATCCGATTTTGATTC